GTGGATTATAAACCATTGAATTATCGAACGTGCCAGATAAGTCTTGCATCTTTGCTAGTGATGTCAAACTTCATTAATGAAATTCGCATGGCGTAAGTTATCTAATCAAATCCTGGTTATCTACTTAAACACGTCTTAGACGATGATTTCCCACACTGATATTCTATCGATTGCATCGCGGCTGTGCTTATTCACGCTTTTTAATCGCCGTATTACAAATACAGCCGTTATTTTGAATCATAATGAAATTGTGGGATGTTAAGAAGGCAAAAGCACGCGTTCTTATATGGAAGTGACACTTCACTTCTCTGAAAATTTCATGTTTCAAAACATGAACTATTGTTTCAAATTCAATTTTTTTCGGTTTTCACAAACGCGGCAACTAGGTGCACAGCAGAAAAGGAAAGCAAACAAGCAAAAAATAGGCATGTAAAACTGGAAACACTGGCGCTAAATCGCGTATCTTTCCGCCTTCACTGAATCCATACTGGAAACAATAGAATTCAAGATGGCGGCCATGTTAGAGATAATGTCTCTTAGCAAATTTCGCGAAGAATTCGCAGTGCTGAATATCGTTGTGGAAACAATATTGTATATTCCTCTCATTGTTAATATAAACACATTTATTAATTATTTGTTAATTGATAACTGTTTTGATGTTATGATTGCAAACAGGATAAACAAAGATGGCGGAGCCTGCCTCAGGCATCTTAACCCGGTTTCACGAAAAAAAAACAAGTTATCTCATATGTTGCTTGTCTTTGAACATTTTTSAACAAGAACCAAAAAAAAAATTTCATGCAAAAAACTGCAAAATGTTTCTCATTAAAATTTTATAGCCAAATTAATATAAACTCACACGTATTAATGAAATTTTTTGTTTAAAAGCATTAGTTAAGTTTTGGGAGTGTTCTTGACGAAGCTTTTGAACCATAACAACTGCAACATAAACAAACTAGTTTTTAATTTTCTTTTTTCAGTTTTATTTTTAGTTATGGCTAAATGTTCTGTGGTGAAGTTGCTTTTATGTCGTTTCTTCAAAATGTTTACCAATTCTTTACCATTGGAGTTTTTTCGTTGTAGCAGTTTTTATTATTTTGTTTTGGTTATATTGTAAACTATATTTACGATTGTCTTAACCTCCAAAACATCAATCTTTGTCATGTTAGAAGTTGTTTTCCAATTTCTTTTAAAGATGGAAAGATAGAGTTGAAAACGGAACCCTTTTTTACATTGTTTACAAAATAACCTTGAGTGATATTTAAACGAGAGGAAAACATGGCGGTTATTTAGGTTTTGAAGAGGGCCTTCGTAAGAGTACTCGAAATAATGGCTGTTTAACTTAGTTTTACCGGATTCTTAAGAGAAGATAAATGCAATTGACTAAGATGAGTCAAAGTTAAAATATAAGGATATAAGGATATAAGGGTGAATAAAACATGGCGGACTTGCTGAGAAAGAAATGCYAAATTTACACGAAAAAGCCAGCGAAAAAGTCAAACGAAATAAACGTAAATGAATAAACATTGAAGCCAGAAGGGGAATGRACATGTTAAAAGAAACGTGTTAAGTTGAAAAGAGATAAAACCACGAAAGAACTTCAAGAAATCTGAAGTTAWAGTTCTTGAAATCCAAATTTTTTAAGGGGCATTTGTTGTGATTCATCCGAACTTTTTTATTTAAAAAAAAAACATCTAATTAATTTGCTAATAGGTCAGATGTTAGGTAAAAGCAGCTTGAAATTATACATATAAGATAAAATAAAAGATAAAAAAAATGGGAGAGAGAAAGAGAGATGAGAGAGA